TAACCCTATTTTATTAATCTCTAAAAAATTGATGATGACAAGTATACCCTTAAGTGGGCGGCCAGCTTGGCAGTTACATAAAGAAAATAAAATAAGAACAAATAACAGGCCCATTAAGTGAGGCCCATCAACATAAAATAAAAGATAAAATAAAGAATATCACATGAAAGGCTGTTAGGGCCCATTCGACCCAATCTCTTTACAATCCGCAAGAAATGAAGTGCCAAGCACTCTATTGAGGCATTTTCTTCATCCCATAATTAGCTTCTTACAATAAATTGCCCCAGAAACATTTATCAAAAAAAACAACAAATAAATTGCCCCAGAAAAATTGTGCCCTGCTCACCCCTTGTCTAGACACTGCATCAAATGGTGCATTTGTTGATCTGTAAGTCCAAGGTTCTCAGATCCTTATTCTTATCAATATTTCCAAGGGCCTTGTTCGTTGTGTTGTAGCCATTGTACCACCACCTTTGAGTTCTCCTCTACCACAATATTTTTTTTTATCAGTAAAAATCTCTCCTCTACCACAATATTCCTCAAGCTTAGAGTCCTTGCCATTCTTAGACCATGCAATGTTGCTAACAACTCTGCCCTGTTTGAATTTCCTACCCCTATGAGCCCAGCAAACAATGTCAAAATGCCCCTCTTATGATCTCTAAAACCACCTCCTGTTCCAGATGATCTGGGGTTGCCTATGCTACAACCATTGAAGTTTAATTTGACTCCACCTTCTAATGAAGGAGCCCAACAAAAGGAGCACTCGGGATCTGTTGCTTACCACACTGCATGTAGAAGCCTATGTAACCTAACATGAATGAACTCGTCAGTGTTACATACACATGGGTGTTGTCCCATGTGTACTGAATAGTGAACACTGGTATGTTCATTCATGATAGGTTACATACGCTTTTACACACAGCACGGAAAGCAACAGATCTGGACCACACTCCTATGAGGCAGAACTAGAAGGATTTCTATCATACTCCCCAACCTTTTAGCAAATCTGCAACTGTAAAGTAATCAAAAAGCTTTGTTGTTCTGATCCAATGCACAGTTTGATTTGTGTGCTTTCCTTGACCGCTTCTAAAGTCCCTTTCCTTTCTTTAAAGAGCCCATTATTCCTTTCCTCCCATATCACCCAGACATCTGTAGCCCTCATACATCTCCACATCAATCTTCTATGCTAGATATAGTATGTAGTAGAGAGATACAAAGAGAAGAAAAAGAAAGAATTAGAGATCAGAAAAAAAAAAAAAACATAGGGTATGTACCCTATATGTTATTTATGCTCATCTCTAAAAGGGTAAAAAGACATATTTAACGCTAGCCACTCAATACAAACCTGAATATAAATAAAGTTATAGATCAAAAAACACAACCTCTTAACTTATTAACCATACCCAACCTTCCTAAATAAGAAGCTAGCTTGGACTTGACAACACCTTTGGCAAGCACATAAGCAAACTAGATCATAGAAGTAATAAATGGGAGAAGACTTCTCCAGTAGACACCCATAAGTATATGAAATGCTGATCTAATTCAGTATGCTTAGTCCAATCATGCTGTAGCAGATTATGAGAAATACTGATGGCAGATTTGGTTACCACAAAATAGTATCAAGCATCCATCAAAAGCCATTCCCAACTTTCCAACAAAAGAATGCAACCACAAAACCTCAAAAGCACACTGAGCCATGCCCTGTATTCTGCCTCTGTTTTCCAAGAGACCAAATTACCAACAACTAAAGCACAATACCCAAACATGGAGCATCAATAATTAATAGAACCACCCCAATCTGCTTTTGTGAATGCTTTTATCTTCATGTGCCTATGATTGGTAATAATATAATGCTTTGTTAGAATGCCCTTTAAGATAAGCTAAAGTACTCTCTACTACAGTGCAATGAGTATTATATCAATCACGCATGTACTGACAAGTCACAAACAATGCTAACTGTATAAGTAATGTTTGGTTGTACCATGCAAAAAAAATAGAAGTTTACCACCTACTCTCAGATGCATTTCCATCTTTCAGGGGTTTTTGTCAAGGATTCGAATATCAATACGATACATCCAATACGGGGCATATCGTATCGGTATCGGTGGTGGAAGATACGGGATACACTACGACTGGCATTGTATCGTGCCAGTTGTGCGTATCGCTACAATACAGTACCATGTCGGTGCGTATCGCACCGTATCGGCTGATATGGACCGATACGCATGATACACAAATACGCCATACGCACACAACGCCTATCCTAAAAAATTTTGCATCTAGTGTGATTCGAACCTAGGCCTTACTTGCAACTTAAGGTGCTTAGCGGTTTAAGCCACTAAGCCATCTTTTAGTTTGTGATGATAAATGAAATACAATTATTGTTATTGTAGTTATTATAAACATATAATCTGAATAAATGGCATATCTTTATATTCAACAGTTCCAACTTAAAATTAAATAGAATAATATTAAAACTTAATATTTAAAAATATAAATAAAATAAATAATCTACCAATTTTATATTTATATCAAAAATTGATTTTTTACTCAATAAATTTATACGAATAAAAATATTAATAATAGAATAATTATTTTAGTACTTAAAATTCATATATTATATAATTTTAATATGTTTTTATAAATTATTAATTGATATTTTAATTTACACTAAATAATAACATATTTATTACTTATAAAAATAAAAACTTTGTTTACAAAATATTCAAGCATATAATATTATATTGAATCTATTAAATAAACTAATTTAAATTTATATAAAAATTATTTATTATTTCAGAAAAATTAATGAAATAAAAGTGTTAATAATGAAATAATCATTTTAGTAATTAAAAATTATGAATTTACAATATTATATGCTTTTAAAAATTTTAATATATAGATACGAAATATTTTAAGTTAACATTATATATTTTATGAATTATCAATTGATATTTTGATTGACATTTTATAATAACATATTTATTATTTACAAAAATAAATTTATTGTTTATCAAACATTTCAAAATTTAATATTTGGTTGGCTTTTCCTGTTAATGTTGAAAAGTAAAAATATTAAATTAGAAAATAATTAATATAGTAATTAAAATATAATAGCATTTGTTTGTATCTTGGAATTAAATAGAATATAATATAATAATGGTTTTATGCAAGCATTAATTTGTAAAGAGCTGTATAATACGAATCTCAGACTCCTGATTGATGGATTGTCAACAAAGTGGTATGATATCTATGCATCCCATAATATTAATTGTAATATATTCCTTTATATATACCATTAAAATATACATTTCTTATGTATTTATATCTTATTTGTAGCGATCTTGATCTTAATGCTAGTGTAGTTGATGTATTTACAAAATTTGTATCTATTTTCTTAGCGTATCCATGTGTTTTCATATCTTTCATTTGTACCCATGCGTTTCCAAAGCGTATCCGTATCCGTATCTGTATCCAAGTTGTCCGATACGATACCCGATACCGATACTTTGGTCCTTGGTTTATGTGTGGGGAAGCATGGGATCACACAGCCAAATCATCACCATATAATTCTACTTAACCTCATGATCATATGCAGGATCCATAGGAATTGGTTCCTCCAATAGAACCCCCAACTTCTCTCTTCCTCCAATTGCCATACATATAGTTTGAGCCCATTCCAAAAAAAAATTCTTGCCATCAAACTCAAAGTAATTGCCTATGTGTTTGGGCTCTTCCTTGTGCCATTTGGAGTCATCCTTGGTTCAACATCTGCCCTAAAATCACTACCAACTAGCTCCATCACTCACTAAAAATGATTAAGCTAAATGATTTAACAAAAAGTAATCCCTAGAGAAGAATTGAATCACAAATTCAACACTAACTTCCACCCTAGAGGAGAAGCCACTACTTATGGACCAAGAGAAATGCCAATCAATCTTCACAGTGCTTCTAGAATTCGACCCAAAACAAACTGCCTTCCAAACCTTAACAAAGTGATTCCAAAAAATCCCAAGCATTCCAAAAAAAGAAAAAAATAAATCCTAAGTGACACTTCAAATCCAAGTGACAAACTCTGTAGACAAAATTTCCCTTAAATCTCTTTTCTTCTTGAATGTTAGGAAGAAACTCCAAGACTCCCTGGGCACAAAACAACCTCAAATCTAGTCTCCAAAAATCATCTAAAACCAGGTCATACAAAGTATATCAACAAGGTCCTCCAAATCCCTATGCACTTTGCTTGTACCTCACAATCTTCAATCTTCTATGCTAGATGTAGTTGGTAGCGGGGAGATAAGAAGAGGGGAGAGGAGAAGAGAAGAAAGAGAAAGAGAGAATCAGAATGCAGCAAAAATTATGGGGCATGTTCCCCTTTCTTCTATTTATACCCATTTCTAAAAAGGTACAAAAAGACAAATATACCCTTCCACCCAATACAAACCAAAAATATAAATAAAGTAATAAATAAGAAAAACTAATAATCTCACAATAACAGACATAAACCAATTTTGTATGATGTCTATGGATCCATGTCTATAGGCCATTTCCATATTAGCAACTTCTTTTTTAATAATATAACTTAAGAACTTATTAAAAAAATATAACCAATTAAAAGAAACAAAAGTAATCATACCTTTAGGAAACATTTTCCTGTCCCTACCCATTTTGACATCAACATGCCAACGGCAGGTACCTCCCATTCAAATTTCCACTTATTTTTTGTCAATGCAACAACCTCTAAATTTGATAGTTTGTTCCCCAAGTGAAGATTAAATGAGCTGCATAAACAGGTATGCTGATATTCAATCATTCAAGTAAAACAAGTTTCAAACAGAGAGAGTAGAAAATAGAATAAGAACTCATTATGAGCTCCATAGACAGTAGTAACTATCTTGAACTACACCAAAAGTTCTGATAGCAACTAAAAAATATGCAATCCAACATGTTTTACATTTTTCATTAAAGGTAACTGATTTCAATAACATAGAGGGCATTGCTTGGTGCAGACAACTTGTGCAAAAATGCCAAAGGTCAGATCCAAGTCCAGTCCACCTCTACCAAGACCACAGATAGATACAACCAACATTGGGTAATGGTCCTTTAAGAGAAAAAGCAAGTTAAAAATGCTTGATATTTCTTTTTTTATCAGTAAATGCTTGATATCTATCCCCAACTTGAGGGATGTATAAACGAGTCAAGCTTTAATTATTTATGATTTTGTTATAAGCTGTCTGTGGCATTGGGCCCATGAGCCATTAATTATGTTTTTTTATAAGTTGGGCCATAATTTATGTTTCTTTAATTATACATTAAGAGTTGCCACATCATTAATGGCATATCTGTAATTTATTCATTCTTTAATCTTTTAATATTAAAAAAAAAAGTGGGGGATCCCAGATTCCCAAGATCTGTTTGATCCATAACATTTCTCTTTCTCTCTCCTTCTCTTCTGTCTTGGTCTTGCTTCCCAAGGTCTACCTTCATTTTATTTTGTTTCGAGTTGAAGATCAGCTTATTAAAACAGTGAAACTGTTAAACATTTAATGCCATAAATACAAGGGGGGGGGGAATATCATGGTCATTAGGTCATGTGCGAGAGAAGCAGACCTACGTTAATTTTGGAACCAAAAAATGATCAAGAATTTTCTTATAACAAGGCTAAACATGAAATCACAATCACAGAAAAGTGCATGGTAAAGACAGCACATTGATTGACCGGGAAAGAGATCAAGGGCCCATCAATTGATGATATTCTAAGACATTGGGCATCAGTGGCATGGTTTGTTCATAGACAAAATTGCATCAACACCATGTAGGCAGCCCTGAAGATGGGGAAACTAAAATTAAATTGTGATGGATGTAGCCTTGGCAATCCAACACCTTCATGAATAGGCAGTGAAAATAGAGATCGTCATGGAGATATAGTCATGATTTTCACTGGACCAATTGGGATTGCAAACTCTTTGAGAGCTTAGATTCTTGCAATTCTTAAAGACCTGAAGCTAGTTGGTTCCATGGAATGGTAGAACCTGATTGTGGAAGGCTACTGCAAGATAATGCTCAAACACATGGAGAAGAACAATGGGGGCTCATGGCTACTCCAACAGATGACCAAAAAAGTATTATCTTCAGCATCCAAATTAAACTGCCTGTTCAAATAAATACCTAGATCATCTAATCCCTTAGCTGATACCCTTACAAAAAAATGGAGTTACTGGAGGCTAATAGATTTGGGGAACACCAGGACTGAGTACTGATATAAATCTAACGTAGTTTTTTTTTTTTTCTGAAACAAATTTTGTTGGCAGCTAAGAGCCAGTTATAATGTCTTCTCCATATCCTATTTCCTATCTGGAGATGGAGAAATTTTTCTTATTATTTCATTAATCAATTTTGGCATTGATGACCAAAAAAGGAAACTTCCAAAACTAATCTTTCTTTTGGGCGCATACAATTCTTTGAAATGTGAAATGATAACATACCACACAAGCATTTGAAGCCATATATATATAATGGGTAAAATACAAAAACCTCCCCTGAAGTTTCTGACAATCATAAAAACCTTCTCTATTGTTTTGCTGTAACAAATACCTCCCCTGAACTTTTGAGAAACTCTACAAAAACCACCCTTCCATCACTAACCCAGATGGAAAATGTTAGCTGATGCATTATTTTTTTAAATATCAATTTTACCCTTGTGTCACTGTCAAACATCACCGATAAAAGGCACATTATTCCCTCAACTGGTCAATCTTCTCAGAGGATTGGAACTTTGGGTACATGGTGAGGAACTTGGAGAAGGATTCATGAAAGTCAGGTATGGACTCTTCGGTTTCAAAGGTTCGCTCGGCAGCAAGGGATGTGGCACGGAGGAATTCTTTCTAGGCATGGAGCCTGGCAAGGGATCTTGACCTCCCAAAGCTCCCATTTTGATTGGAGAATGCATCGGAATCTACATCTTGCGATTTAGAGAGGGACCCATCTTCTGATGCCTCTTTGAGCGCTTCTCTGAGCTTGCTTTCCTGCAACTGTTGGAGGATCGAGGGATTTTGCTTTTCTTCCTTTGTCAAACCAGAACCATCTCTTCTGCTTTTCTTCTCCAGGATTAAGGCCACACAATGAAATATAGGTTTCCATAGTGAAAGATGCAGAACCATCTCTTCTTCTGCTCTTCTTCTCTAGGATTAGGGTCGCGCAGTGAGATATAGGTTTCCATAGTAAAATATGGATGAATGCTCCCCTGTCACAATTCAATCCAAAGAAATGAAAACCAACCTGAGCTCACACAGGTTTTATCCCATTAAACAAAACTCTAACAAAATGGATCCAGTCTCAAACCCCACCAGATTCAATAGAAAGAAAAAGGTATCCGAGCTTTCCCAAAACCAAACCTCTGTTTCAAAAATCAAAATGTTGCTGCAAGGAGGGAAGATGGCAGAGATTCAGAAACATTCCCAAACTTAAACCGGGCCGAGGGGTCTTTACTTTTTATCCAAAATATCCAAACATGCAAACTCAAAATATTCTTCCATTAATGGCCACAACTTTAACTAGATCACGAGTACTTGGCCCAAAATAAATGAAAAGGAAAAAGAGAAAGAATAGAGATCTGAAGAAGTAAAAAGGAAAATAGTAAGATGGAGATCTGAGTCCAACCCAACCTTCAACCGTAATTAGATAAAACCCTAATTTAAGCCCCTGGTTCAGGAACCCAAAATTTAGGATTCAATTGAAAGCGGAACACATCATCAACCCGGAAAATAATGAGAAGGTACCCCAGGGATCAATCCCATAGAAAACACAAAGTCCAAATCTCTCGAAAGCATATGTTGTCTGGATCCAACCTAGCCAACGAGAAAAGTGGCAGAAGGGTAAAATTGGTATTTAAAAAATAATAATGCATCAGCTAATGTTTTCTGTTTGGGTCAGTGATGAAGGGAGGGTTTTGTCAAGTTTCTCAAAAGTTCAGGGGAGGAATTTGTTACAGCAAAGCTATAGGGGAAGTTTTTATGATTGTCAGAAACTTTAGGGGAGGTTTTTGTATTTTACCTGATATATAATTCCATGAACATGATAAAAGTTTTTTATTAGCAAAGTCAACCAACCTCATGCTTTTTGTTACATCAGTACCAGTTTGACCATTGAGCTCCAATTCGTGCTCTTCATCAGAATCAGAGGCTTCATCCTCATCTACTGTTTCATCTTCTTCACTCTGCTCAATAGGGTCAATATTTATAGATTCCTGTATCTCAGTTTGCATGGCATGACTTTGACCAGAGTCATCATCAGACCCTAAGAAACAAGAGAGCAAAGATGGCAACTATAATTCAGAAACTTAGGCTCTATCTTCAAACGTAAACAAATGGACCTTACAAAACAAAGACAGATTGAAGAAATGCTGAAAGTCTTAAACTAATTACTCGTTTCAAAACCACAGAAAAGAAAAGCTTTTAATGTAAGAAATGCATATACCTGTTGAAAATTGTAAGGGGACATCTATTCCCTAAATATCAATGACTATAGTTCAGTTTAATTGAGTTGAAGGTAATATAATTATACAAAGTAAACCAGACGAAAAGCAAGATATTTGCCATCAACAAATGAGGTGACCAAAGGCCACTACAGGGAAATTTCCCTGAAGAATACTTCCAAATTAACCCAAAGCTTAGCTTTTGAAATCTTTAACTTCCTGTGTTGTTAGGACTGTTATTAGACTGTTAGTAGGCTGTTATTAGTGTTTTTTTCTTTGTAAAGTTGTAATCAGGGGTACTCTTGTAATTTTCCGCTTATTCTAAACACCCTAACATATAAGTCAGTAAGGGCACCACCATTGACATATTTCCTCTTATTCTCTTCTCCTACTGTTTTTTTTAATATATAAATGTTCCCTCTTCTACTGTTTCACTCTTCTATTCTTCCTCTTCCATTCTAGATGGTATCAGAGAAGATTTAACAGTGGTTTGGGGTTCCAGTAGATCTCTCTTTCTCTTCTCCTTCTCTGTTTTCTCTGGAAAAGACTGAAACTTCCCAAATATGAAAAGGATCTGATTGGGTAAGGCTTTTTTTCTATTCTTTTTTCCCCTTTTGGTCATAGGACTGATAGGATAACTGTTTGGGTGTTTCTCTCATATCCCTAGATGGTTTTTCGAGTTTGTGAAAGGGTAGCTCTCAGTTTTTTTCCAGTTGTGTGGTCTGAGATCCATTCGGCTGTGTGGTTTGTCTTGTTTTATGGATCTCACACTGAGTTCCAACCTAAGTGATATGAGTAGTGCTGTATTTGATGTTTTTTTTATTTTTTGATCAGCAAAAATCTTTCATTAATAACAGAGAGATTAAGATACGATAGATAAAGATTGCAGAGGAATAAACTGCAATCTCCAGCAATCAGTTACAATTCTGCCCAAACAAAGGACACACACACACGAGGAGAGAGGCAATTGTTTGGCCTCCTTTTCTGTAGCACATCACAAGTGTTTACCTTCCTTAGGAACACTTCCCAACAGAAAGCTTGTACTTTTGGAGGGATCGGTTTAGACCATATTTCTCTCACTGGGAAGTTCACCCCCATTGGATCAATATGAGTGAGCAAATCAAAGAAAGATGCACAGCAAATCAAAGAAAGATGGGGACCAAACTCTACAATCAGCTATAGATTGATCCAAGTAGACCCTCTCAAGTGTTGAAACCATCAGTGCTGTATTTGATGTTTCAAGTGTATTTTTTCCTTGAAGATCAAGCTGCAGGCAGTATATAACCTGTGAGATTCGGCTGAAGGGTTTTTTCTTTCATTTTTTGGATTGGTGGTGTTTGAAGTTGTTTTCTACTACTGGAAGGAGTTCTTTGTCTTCCGGTTCCTAGAAGTGTGCCATTGACAGACAAACAGGCCCGTCTTCTCTTGTTGGTGCTGTTTTTATCTTCTGGTACAAGTTTTTGTGTGGTTATTACGTTTGTTGTTTTTGGGCAATGTCTACTGATGATTCCACTATATCTGAAGTCACTGAAGATCAGAATATGGTCAATCCAGGGGCTGAAAGTTGGGGTTTCCCTGTTGATATTACTGTCCATGATGGACTGAATTATCTAGAGTGGTCGAAAAGTGTTAAACTGTATGTGCGCTCAGGAGGAAAGCTTGAATATCTGTTTGGTGATGTCCCTCAATCCAAGGAGACTGGTACAGCTTCTGATAAGTGGGATCAAGACAATTATTTGATTATGTCTTGGCTCATAACCTCTATTCACCCTAGCTTGAGGAAGAAGTTTACATGGGCTGATACAGCATAGGAAATTTTGGATCAAGGTAAGGGTACTTTTTCCAAGCAGACACAATATGTTCATATTTATCAGCTACGGTTTGAGACATCCACTTGTAAACAAGGGGAGAAAAGTTTGTCGTCCTACTATTCTTCCCTTACCTCAATGTGGGAGGAACTTGATTATTATCAAACTGTTGACTGGAAGAATGAATCAGATGCAAAAGAGTACAGGAAACTTGTGAATCAGTAGCGAGTGTTTTCCTTCTTGGCTCGCCTTAAGCCTAGTTATGAGCTAATTCAAGTTTAAATTTTAGGGAGTAAGGAGCTCGCACCACTTCAAGAAGTGTGCTCTCCAGTTCAGCCTGAGGAAAGTAGGAGGATAGTAATGAATCCTCCAGAGGGGGAGCAGTAGGTAGCTCTCTTGGCCAAGGGAGGTGATGGAAATAGAAAGGGTGTTGTAAGGATGAAGATGACTAGAGAAGTTGACAAAGATAAGTTAAGATGTACTCATTGTGGTAGACTCAGGCATACCATAGAGACATGTTGGGACCTTGTTGGCAAGCAGAAAAACTCAGTCCTTCCAAAAGAAGCAACCACAACATTCTGGGAAGAATTTTGTAACATGTATTTTCAACGTGCTAACCCCATATCAGGGGTGTATGTGCATTGGGCCCGTATCAAGGTGTATCGGGGTGTATAGGACCTATATTGGCTGATACAATACGGTTTTCCTGTAGGCAAAAATCAAATTAAAAACGTTTGAGAAAAAAGGCTTCTAACTCTACAAAAGCCTTCTTTCTCTACCAAACTCACCACATCATCCCTACACCTTCTTGGATTGCAAAATCTTTTAAACAAAAACCAAAAACAACCTCCTCAAGGTTTTTCACGTTTATTTTCAAATTTTTTAAAAATTTGCAAAAATAAATATCTTTTCAATTTATTTGGTAATATGTTACAATATTTTGTGTTTTTTAATGCTTGGAAATGCTTCTATATATATATATATATATATATATATTGATATACTCTCCTTATGTTGAAAATCCTATATTTTTTGTTCTTTAAATAGATTCATTTAATTTTTTGAAGAAAATTTAGAAAAATATAAAATAACAACAAAAAATAAAATTTTATATTTTTGGTGTAATCTGCCCATGAAGAACAATAGTGTCATAGATCTATGGGTGATCTACCATATCCATAGATCCATTTAAATCTCTTGTAAAATATTCATTGTTTAAAATTTTTTGAATAAAAAATATTTTTTTTTCATTTTTAGTATGAAGAAATTTTTGTAATTTCTGTAAAACAAAATATATTCTCCTAATTTTTAATTCATAGATCTATTGAAATTTATTGTAAAATATTAATTTTTTTATAATTTTTAGAATAAACATTTTATTTTTTCGAATTTTTAGTGTGATTTAACCATAATATTTACCATGTTGCAAATCTATGGATCATCTATCACATTCATAAAGTTGTTTTTCTGTTACATTTTTATTTTTTTTAATTTTTGTTATAATTTTTGGAATAAAAAATAAAATAATTGTTTGAATAAGAAATAAATAATTATTTAAAAATTACAGAAAATGTTTCATTAAATAATTCTTAGGCTTATATTTTGTAGTTATAACCTTAGTAGAGAATACTCTTTTGTTCTTGTATGTTGATTATGATATATTTTTTCATAAAAATCACTAAAGGATGTGATTTTTATGTATATATTAGCACATTTAAGCCTTATATTTAATGTTATTGATATACTTTTATGATTTACTGGAGTCTCTATAGTGTTTGCAGCATTTCTATGTGTATCCTAATTTTTCGTCCACATCCATGCGTATCCAAGGCGTATCCAGATACGTCTCTTAAATTTGTCTTTCGATAGACTTAGCATTTCCAATAATTTGAACCTTGTTTCAGCATATTGTTTACTTTCAAGAAGAGACAAAGTTAGGCTAGCTAATGGTTCTCACACCACCATTACTGGCCAAGGTACTGTACCCTTACAAAATGGGGTTCTCCTACATTCGATCTATCATATTCCCAAATTTCTTACCAACCTTTTATCTATTAGTTGCATAACCAAATCCTTGAGTTGCAATTCAACTTTTTTTTTTCTAATCAAGTTCCTTTTAAAGCACTGAATGCAACAGAGGTGATAAGATATCACCAAAGAGCAAAAACACTCCCATATACCCAAAATAAACCAAAAGAACCCACAGATTACAAACAGGAAAAACCCAACCAAAACAGAGCAAATTACCCTGAACATACCCAAAACAGATCTCCAACGAAATCGACAGCAACAGGCGACCGACATCAAAAACCCCCCCTTCAATCTTCATCCATGAGAATATCCTCCTGGTCTGAAACATCCTCATCCCATCCCTTGTTTTTTCTTCAATTTGTCTTCCTTTTTTCTTTTTTCAAATTCCTCGAAGGTCCTCCTAGCAAACCCCTCACACCCCCCAAGAAACACACAGGCCCTGACTTTTCCCAATCGTAACCTCTCTCTACACGGACTTTTGGAGGGCTACACCGCCTGAATCTCCATTAATACTATCAGTACTTTGCAGCAACCTGTTTGCACCCGAGTCAGGCTCGACACCAGTCAGCTCGCTGTCCTAATGTTCCTTTGTTTGTCTGAAGGGGTACAGAAGACTGAATTTGCTTCAGTGCCTCCCTATGATCTGTACCGTATGTCCCATTGCCTCGCACTCTATTCCCCCTGTACACCCATTTGTATTTTTTTGTAGGTCCTGCCCCCACCAAGCCGAGCTTTAGCCTTGAAAAAATCTTCATTGCATGTACGAATTTATGGTTTCTCAAATTATGTAACTTCTTATTGGTCATCTCGTTAGTCTGTTCCTCCTCCTCAAGATTGCTCCCTCTTCCCAAATCGATGCCCACCCTTCCAACCTTTACCTCCTTGTAAAGCAGACTATCCTCTACAAGGTTTTCACCCTTTCCTTCAGGGGATTCTTCACCGGCTGACACTTCCTTTCCTGTAACCTCACCTTCATTTTCCAGCTCAACATCGGCACTAACATTTCTTTTCCTAATTGTCTCCTCCCCTAGAAATTCTGGTGTCGTCAAATCTGATTTTCTGGATTCACATCTGGCCTCTAGGGGCATCACAACTGAAACCCCAGGCTTGGAGGAACCACAAATCCCGTCAAGATCCTTACTGACCTGAGGAAAATGCCCGGCATCACCGCTCACTGGAGAATATGGGTAGTCATCAAAAGTTGTACCTGTTCTACCTACTATCCTCTTCCTACCATTTTTGTCAAACTTGGCGATCACCCAGATCCATCATTCTCATTTTCTTTCTCTGGCCACATACGAAATTCTTGTTAATCCACTCCTTTTAAAATTTGGTCTGCTAATTCTCCTGCCAACTTTCCTTCTCTTGAACTGATTTTCCTCCCTGCCCTTGTGCTCTTTGGTGTTGCAGGCTTGAACTTCTTTCAAGATTTCTTTTGAGCGAGACAGATTCTTCAAGGGACTACCCTGTTCAGAGGTAGCCGATGGAGGTTGTGCGCCACAAGCCCTTAGTGCGTCTTCAGTTCCTGAGAGAGTTCCACCTGAGTTCCACCCTGTGTTTTCTTCATTTCCTTCAACTTCATTACCACCTCCCGTTATGCCTGAAGATTCACATCAACCTTCTAGAATCTCCATACAGACCTTTGCTTGCTCCCATCACTACAGTGGTTAAACAGCCAACAACAAATCTTCAATCAAACACCTTATTTCCAACATCTCTCCTTTCTAAGTTTGATTTCATCTACCTTCATGAACTTTTTTTATGAGTGGCTGTGGATCCAAGCTTCAGATCCAGTTTCCTGGGCTCTGACACGAGCAATATGGTCAAGAAACAAGAAGAAAACCAAAGCAAAGCTCCAGAAAAGCAGCCCCAAGTTAGAAAAAGAAGAAAGATTGAGTGGGAGAAGAAGATTAGAAGAATACGACCTTAAGGTTTATCAACAGATAAAAGCAGAAGTCCAGAAACAGAAACAGAATTCTTCCTCAAGAAAATGTTCAAAGCTGCTCAGAATGAGACATCAATTGCATGATCTACATGGTAGTGTTGTCACAGATATTTCATCCAAACACTTCTTTTCACATTTAATAAAATTGTAATTTACTGTAACTAATCAAAAAAAATTACTTACAATGACAATGGACAAGCTCAAATCTACTATTCTCAAACCCTACTAAGAATAGATAATAGTCACCTTTTTTCTAATTTAGACCATAACAAGAATAACCAAAACCCATGTCTATAATACTAACAGAACTTGAAAGGACTCGTTATTTTTCTAAGCTCCACATAATATTGACTTAAATACCATTGATAATACAGAAAGCATATATACCACTAAAACAAGGCTTATTTCATATTAAATAGATCATCCTACATAAATACAGGAGCTAGAAAATAGAAACTAATTTCCTCACCATTATTCTCTTCTTCAGACCCGCCAGACATTTCAAAAGCATAATCTTCATCTTCCTCGGTATCACTTCTACCTTCTTCTTCTTTTTTTCTTCACACAATGGATGAACAAATCAACTCAGAAATCATTTGTTTAACTCTTCAATGGATTATTCTCTAAGAAACAAAAAGAACTTAAGCAACAAACCAGCAAAAGGATTTACAAGTTCCACAATAACAGAACATCAATTATAATTACTTTATATTGTGGAATCAAAAAACATAAGCACTTCTCCTCAATACAGGAAACAACTCATTAAGGTAAGAAAAATACAAGTAAATATACAATTGTAGTAAACATTCTTAAACCAACTAACTCCAAATTTGGATGAAGAACATCTAATGTATCAACAGAAAGGGGAAAATAGAATATGATTCTAATATTGGATGTGAAACATTTTTAATGAGTAATAAAATGTTATTAAAAAGAAAAGGAAAAAAAATAGAAGAAAGCAGCATTTGGGAAATCAGTCACCAAAATCTTTTAGACCTCCAAAATCATTTGAACATAATTTCTGCTCTAAAACAAAGAGAACTCTTTTCAAAAAGGAGATTCTTCTCCCGATTTTACCCCTCTTGTTCGCCCTTCTCTTGATTCTCGCCCCTCTTTTAAAGTTAGCCGCTAACCTATTTAAACGGTGAACTCTTTTCACACCTCGCTCCTTGTCACCAACTGGTGACGGTCTGTTCCCCTTCTAATCGCCCCCCCCCCTTTTAAAACAATCTCCTCCTGCTGGTCCTCCAAGTGTCCCTTTTCCGAGAAAACTGGAGGGCGCATCTCCTCCAGATCCTTTCTCGAGGAGTTAAAAGGCTTCTCAGAACCAATTCCCTGTAAAAAGGCTTCTTCAGTTCACAACTACGAAATTACCTTTTACCCCACCCCGCTTTTCCCACGTCTCCCCTCTCTCTTCCTCTTGTCCTTCCAACTCCCTGACCTTTTGCTTTCCATCGTCTTCCTCCTCCCGACTTGCATTCTCAGGTTCATCTAGCATCCTAATTTCCTATGCAGGGTAATCTAACTCCTGGATTCGATCAGGCAAGACCATTGAATCCTCCTGAATCCAACAAACAGGATGCATCCTTCAATAACCAACCTCAAGTCGTACCACTCTCCAGCAAAGTTTAATGCCATACTCAGGGGGGGTAAGATGTATGTTCTCTGCCTCGACCAAAATTCTTGCTGCTACCAGGTTTTTAAGCTTAAACATTTGGGCATCCACTCTTCTAAAGCAACAGCAAGCATTTCCGATAACACAAAAAGTATTTAAATTCCATGCATGGAGTGGAATCTCTAGGACATTAATCCAGACAAGATTCTTGCTACCAACTTCTCTAATTGCCCCCACTAACGGATTCCATCTACCCAACCTGAGCTCCGGCGACCTGAACATTGAAATTTCTCTACCCAGAATTTCGTTTGCCTCCTTGCTACGGAAGATGAAGAGAAAGAAGCCCGCATTTAACTTTCTCACCTGGACGACCTTTCAATTTCGTCCTACATTTCATCTGCTTCTGTCTTTAGTTTGTATTTATCTTTGATCTGGTGAGTTCGCAACTTGCGCCTCTCTAAGGGCTACTTGTAATGATTTTTAATCTCTTGATTTTCTTTATTTATTTATTTTTTGATAAGTAACCTCAATTAAAATTCCTTGCTTTTAATAAATTAATCATTTAACACAAAAAAAATATATAATCACACAAAAGGCATGGAAAATCATAGCTAAGCTGCATATCAGCATCGATACTTAACCTTCCATAAGCAAACATAACAAACTCTCCCAAATTATTAATGCACATATACAAATGAAACCTACTATTGAATGAGGAGAGGCATCGAATGAGGAAGGAGACAAGTGGGATGAAGCATTTGAAGGGGAAGATTGATGTGTTTCTCAGTCAGGGAGGTTTTTGTGATTTTTCTTTTGTTTCTTCAAGTGTTTGTAGCATGACTTTTCTCAATGTGCGTGAATTGGTTGTTCTTGGTCTGTTGCTTTCTTCTCTCGGGTGATTTCTCATCACCTTCCTATTGTGCTTTCTTTTTGTTTTTTTTTTTATCAGTGCTTTCTTTTTGTTTTTAATGAATCTATATTTTATTTATCAAAAAAAGAATAAAAAGCAAGAATCCACAAGATGTGCATAACAAACCTACAAAGTTTAAGGAATATAAACCATACATATCAAAGGTTAAAGAAAGGAACAAATACACTTATAAGAGCAAGACCATTACCTCCTCTTATACACATTGGCAAGAGATTCACTTCCCGACCCCAACGTCATTAATAAGTTATCATACACTGAAGGTTCCTTATAAACTAATACGCTTTCAGATGTTGTGCTCTTCCAATGATCCTCGGAGGAATTTCCTGCATTAAATAAAAATAACTCAACTCTTGAAAGGAAGCATCTTCTAATATGGCTGTGTCCATTGATTCAACTTCTAAGTATCATTTGCTTAGAATTAAACTTTTCAATTTGTATACGTTAATATTAAAATTAAACACCCAACCAACCCATTTTGATGTGTGTTGATTCTGCTCAGTGTTCCAGGCCCCAAATCATACCATAGTAGGAAAACCCAGCAGGATGAAATATTCATCCTAAATAAACCCACTAAGTGGTTGAACATGCCAAGTTGTAGGTATCACTTGGCCAAATTTAGTTTTTCAAAAGAACCCTAAAATAATGTATAATGCTGCAGTCTTGGTTCATATAAAAATATGATGGTTCCCAAAATAGTGGTTTCTACCAGTTTGGTTAAGATTCAAATCTAAATCAAAACTTTTTTAAGGAATCTAATCCAAATCTAAATAAGAAATTTATGGATCTAACCATTAATTAAATTTAAAGACACAAGAAAGAAATTTCTTAATTAACATTCTCTTTCTTCAATACTTACTTTAATTTAGTTTTTTCCATCTAAGTTACTATATTCCAATTTTTTTATTTGTTGGATTAAGAACGAAAATATAATGATATATATTGCATTTCAGAAATATTATTTAGTATCGTTTTTATTAATAAATAATAAATATCTCCTATAATAGAAAGATTAACTCGCCAAGTCAGCAATGCCAACTTATCCAAGTTGAAATTATAACCTTAACCGAGTCAGCTCATTTACTGAACTTTCCTACCATGCAGCAATAAAATTACAATAAGAGGGATTTTATTGAGTGAAGAAAAACTTCATTCTAGAATGAAGGGATGAAAACTAACACAAATCACAGCCTGCAGCTGACAGTCTTACGGGGAAAAAGAAAAAGAGATAGTCCATACAAATAAAGTGGCTCAAAAATATAAACAACCAGCGGGTGATTAGGGATGAGAGTGATGCTATCCGTGCATTGTTTTCAGGACCAATTGAGCAAGGTGGTTCGGTAAGAGAATAATTCCTAGCAGTAGTTTTTGCAGTTGAGAAAGCCAAAGAATTGGGAATTGGTAGGTTGATCATTGAAGATCACTCAAAGATCATAGTGGGATCCGGGATGGCTGAAAAAAATAGCAGAATTCCTAGCAGCAGTTTTTGGGGTTGAAAAGGCCAAAGAATTGGGAATTGGTAGGTTGATCATTGAAAGTGACTCAAAGATTGTAGTGGGATGGCTGAAAAAAGGTGACGGGTGATCTGGCAGCTTAGAAATGAGTTCAGGCACTTCAAATGGCTTTCAAAAGATATGAATGTTCAAGTAAGATGGGTTAGGAGATCTGCTAACAGCTTGGCAGATAGTTTAGCAAAGCTAGGGGTTCAAAGACAACTTATATACTAGGAACAATTGTAATATAGAGGGGGGATAATCCTGTATTGGGTTTCATCTTCTCACAACTTCTTGTTGTGTTCTGTTCTCACTAATCAATAATAGAATTCTGTTTTTTGTGTTGCTGATAAAAAAATATTTAAACAACCAGAAAATTCATTGTTTCGTACACAATAAAATCATCTAAGGTGATGACTAATACTGCCAAGACTATAAGAACCAAAATGAATTTTCATTGACCTTGAATCTCAAGGAGGTTTCAAATTTTAGGAATAAAAATGCCACATGATTACAAGAGAGATGTATCATACCTGAGGAACTTGGTGATGAGCTATGAGCAACATTATTTTCAATACGCTGATTCTTCCTCATATCCTTGCTTGTGTTAGTTTTCTCAGGTGTCTTAGGTCTCATATGCCCTGAGTAAAATAAATAAACAAATAAAACTTCATTACCAAACTGAACGACAATTCTTTTGACAAAATATTTATACGAAGTAAGATTCAGTCCGCTATTTTGTTTATTCTCAGAAAAAGGATTAAATAACAAATAAAATAAAAAATAAATTAAGAGTGTGTTCTGTAGTGTGGATGAGAAATTGGTGGGTGTAGACTGGTCCACACAACACCACTGTGGCAGGGACCAGTCCACAAATGTTCTGAACTGTGGACAAACTGTGTGGACTGGTCCAGTCCACACCCACAGTGATGTTCTGTAGGCGTGGTGTGGACTGTCCACACCACACTTTTTGATTCCACGTATCTTATATGAAGTTTATGAAGTATCTACACAGTTTATCATAAATGTCTAATTTTACAATTTATATGATAAACAAATTGGAAAAAAGGCTGTGTCAATTGGTTATTAACTAAAAATATCAATTTCTACAAAAATGGTAATAAAATAGTTTAAAAAATAAAAATTATTAGGCTATTGATAAAAATATTAAAAAATAATATTTAAACAAATGAAATAACAAATTATTGCAAGATAAGCATAGCATCAAACTAATTATGCAAACTAATAATCCATTGGTTCCCATACTAGTCGTAAGACAAGCATAGCATCAAAATATTGGTCCACTAGTTTCCCAAATTGGTGTATGGATAAACCAACATTACAATTAGTACTTAGACAAAAATAGTAGAACCACCATTATAAGACAGATAAGAAGAAGATTGCAAAGTATGTTGCACTCACAAAAGAAGAGTGCAAATAATAGAACCACCATGAAGTCCTGCGTGTTGATGATGGGTTGTATAATCTCTGTGTGGTGCTACTTGAGCAACATCTTCAATTGGGAGTGTGACCCAATTAATTAATTTCAAAACCCATAAAGCTGAGAAATTTAGTAAAGCAGAAACTTCATTTTTTAGGGTGGACCCGAAAAACTCGTTACTTATGTACCTTTATGCCCTATGGTCCACAAACAATATCAAGTGCTATGAAACACAGACAGAGGCATAATGCTTGAATTAATGGGCCTGAAAAACTTTCTAGACCATGTTGGCTCATGTTTGGGCCCCATCTCTCCTTTGGTTTACAGTATCAGGACCTTTCACCAAGCAGAACCTTTTTGACCGCCTGATTATTGCACTAGTTTGGGAGATTTCCTTTTAATTAAGCTACAATGCAATTGAACCAGACCTTGATATGACCCGTCTCACATATCAATGGGTCAGGTTTGGCATGGGGTTGGTACAACTGAACCAGACCTAGCTGAACAAAGATGCAATACCAAACCTGATATGTCCCATCTCACATATAGAACATCCATTTTCAACCAAGGTTATACATACAAGCATTGGCACAGGTCCACCTCAACCTGGTCTGACCTGATTAAGGCTAACATGACCCAAACCCAATAAGTTCGGGTCAATGCAGATTTACCACTTAATCCAACCCTAATTGCAATGCCCAACAAAATCTCTACTATGATCACAAGGATTCAAGTAAAGCTGTCGATAAAGAACATGTGGTTTCTAAGCCATTACCTAGAGTTTTGGAATTCCATGACAGCACAAAGGATCCTATACTATCTACCGAAAGATGGAAACTAGTAGGGAAGGTTACTTCTACACATGGACTTCTATGTATTGTTAGATGGTGAAAGTAATCTTGGTGATAAGTCTATGAAAACCCATTCAGAGTGGAAGGAGTTTGTATGAACAGCTCACCCTTTAAAAATATCTACAGCAGCCATCTGCATATTTATAATCACTTTGTTCAAGCTATAACTTGAGAGATAATCAGTACTTGCCAAAAATTCTTGCTGACCATGCCTATTGAATGGATCCACCTCTTCATGCACAGGCAGGGAAAAGGATCTTGGTTACCAGATTTCTTGTAAAAGAGTGTTTATCCTTCCAACATACATGTGTTGGGAGACTTGCTCTTTTGGCATTCTTGTAAAAGAATGTAATCTTTGAAGATTCTTTCATTATTCAAATCTGAATATTAATTCATCAATTTTATATGTAAATATCCTTCTAGAATGTAGCCTGACACAAGCTCTTTCTGACAGTGCCCAAATAGATAAGAAGAGCAAGTTTCTATTGACTATGGAGATGTTACACATTAGTATTACACATTCCATGACATGTATATATATTGCCCAGGTTTGTAGTAGTGCAGTGTCACAGTGTAGGAATCCTCAAACTGCAGTGAGCAACATTCTTCAAGAGTTAACTGCAATTTGATACAGGGGAAACCTACTTTCTAGATTTCTAGCATATAAGACATGTTAACATGACAAATATACTGACAGGTATAGATGAGTTACAGAAGGGTCAGAAAGGGAATGCATGAGACTGAGAAAAGACATAGGATTCACAAGCAAGGAATATTGCCCTGGATATTGGATTTTCTAGCCAATCCAACATGATTGGAACAAGGTCTTTTTCTGAGTTGAAACTAAAAAAAAAAAAGAATAAGCATGCAATTACAGAAGCAGATCTTCAAGTTCCATGCTAAAACTGTTTCACTAACAACAACAACAGAAGCAAATCTGTTTCACTAACAAATCTTCAAGTTCCATGCTAAACTCTACGTATCCAAACAACAAAAGCAACAACAAACAAATGACCCAGAAAGATCACTAACAAATCTTCGAGTTCCAAGTTTCACTCTGTCTTTTTCACTAATAAAAAAACCAACAAAAAGATGCATACTGGCAGTGGAGAGCTTCAGTGGACCCCTTTGCGGCGGAGCACAGCAGCAGAGAACTTCAGCGGTGGAGACCCAGGTTCAACGGTAAAATGATGTAGGGTTTGAAGGGTGCATGTGAAGCATGATATCAAAAAATGAACTGTGGACCGACCCCTTCCACGAGAAAATGCTGTTGCTGATAATTTGGGGTGTGGACATGGCTGGCCCATGATATAGTGTGGACCGGTCCCATCCACAACCAACCGAACAGCGAGTTCACCCCATGGCGTGGACCGAAATGGTCCATCCACGAGATGAACACGCTACCGAACACCACCTAAGTAAAATTGCATGGTTATCCCTTACTAAATAGGCATACCATAACAGCTTAACAATAAAAGGCAATCTATTTTTCTTTTTTTTTTTTGAGAAAAGCAAAGTATAATTATATCAACTGAAAAAAAAAATACAACTATGGCCCTTTGTACGAGAGTATTTTGTACAAAAACACCTTTAAGGACCCCCAAAACAAATTACATTCAAGAAAGTGGATGAGAGGTCATCTAGACTGAAACATGTAAGAGTAGACAGCCCTGCTCTCAACACGCCAATTGCAGAATTGATAACCACCTCCTGGATTCGAGTTCTGCTCAAAAATTCTACTGTTCCTTTCAAACCATATTGTCCACAACACTGCTAGGGGAACCACATTTCAGCAAGCTCTCCCTTTCTTGGACATTCCTTGCATCCTCCACCCTGCTAACAGGTCCCTCACAAAGTTCTGGAAGCACCCAACAGCTGGAACAGAACTTCTAAAATGATTCCAGACTTTAAAAGAAAACTACAAAATAGGAACAGATGATTCACAATTTCCTTATCGGCATTGCAGAGGGAGCAATCCACGTTTGCTAGATTAGCTCCTTCCCTGACCAGCAGACCCTCAGGCTATGTTTGGTTTGAAGGAAAAGGTAGGCAAAAGAAGGGAAATGTAGGGAAACCTATACAAGATTTGTAAAGGTTTCCCTACTTTTTCCTTCAAACCAAACACAGCCTTAGTTAAGCATTTTTCCCAGGACACTACCCAGGCAAAAACTTTCACTTTTGAGGGAGTTGCATTTTCCCAAATTGCTCTATGAACTGATTGAGAAAACCCCTGACATGGACCATCTGCCTTAAATCTTAGCCATTCACATTGACTTGCTGGGATGCCTTGGCCTCTGCTTCAAAAGCTATCCATGCTGTTTTGCCTATCTTCATTGAGTGAGTCAGGTATGATTGCTATTCAGTGTCTAAAATTCTCTTTTGGAAGGACCTTTGAGTGGGTGACTCTACTCTTAAAGATGCTTCCCCCTCTATTTACTCCTTACATTTGTTTAAAAATGACCCTACATCTTTTACCTTTGTTCTAAAGGGGTGCCATGGAACTTGGGTCTTAGAAATGGGTTAAGAGAGGCTTCTAATGAAAGAATCTGGATTCCTGACCCCAAAGGCTCTTTCTCTTGTGCCTCCTTCCTTCAGTCCCTGGTTGCTTGTGCTCCCTTTGGATCTTCCTTTCCAGTGAGGTTTGGTGCAAACCAATTCCCTTAATAATAGAGGCTTTCTGTTTTTTTTTTTTTTTTTGATCAGAAATAGAAGCTTTCTGTTGGGAGGTCTTTCGTGGAAAAATCAACACTCTGAATTTTCTATAGAAGAGAAGGAAAAATGTTTGTTCATCCCCGAATTGGTGCACGCTTTGCAAAGCAAATGGTGAGACAGCCTATCACATCTTTATTCCTACTATTTTGTTACCTCTATTTGGGAGTGGTCTTTGATCTTTTCGGGTGCAGGTGGACTCTACCTTTTTTTTAATCAGCAACACAGAAAAGATTTCATTAATCATGAGAGAAACAAGATTACAACAAGAAGCTGTGAAAAGAACCAGCTATGAAAGCTGTCCCAAATCAGTACTATATTTGAGCCCAAAACATGTGTTCTATGTACCCCTTGCTTGGCTAAGCTATCTGCCAAACTATTAGCAGTCCTCACCCATTTCACTCAGATTAACATGTTCTGTGACAACCATTTGAGTTTTCTGAATTCATTCCTCACATGCCATGCCACCCCTTCCCCTTTTACCAGCCACTTAACCACAGTTACAGAATCTCCCTCAATAATCAGCCTACTAATACCCAGTTCTTTTGCCTTCTCAACCCCAAAAAATGCAGCCAAAAACTCTGATCTTACCACATCACCCTGCTCCACAGGGCCAGAATATAAAGCAATTATGTTCCCCTCTTCATCCCTAATGACTCCCCCAATACCTGAGGGTCCAGGGTTACCCAGACAGCTCCCATCAAAATTCAGTTTCTTCCAACCATTTATTCGGGGACACCAAACATCAAAAGGTCTTGGTCTTGTAGTTGAGGATGCAGCAATGATACCCCAAGCTCTGAAGAAATCTTCAGTCTTGAAATCCAAAAACAGCTTCAAACTTTTTGCCCAATGTGCTACTCTCAATGTTATAGTTTCAAACTTATAGGCAGGTGGACTCTACCTACAAGCTTGATGAGTTTGTTTGCAGGTGGAACCTTTAATTGGCCAAGGAAAAGAGGAAGAACTTTTGTGGAGATGCACTAAGGCTTCCATGTTATGGATAGTCTGGGAAGAAAGAAATGCAAGACTTTTCAAGGAAGAGAAGAGATCAATGGAAACAATCCTAGAATGTATTCTTTAAAGGGTGATTCATTAGGTCAAGTCCTTGGATTTGTTCTCACCTTTTTCCTTTGATAAGAGTCATAAGACATAAGAAGGTATTGGTGGGAAGTAGCTTCTTCATCTATAAGAAAATCTAGAACAGTTAAGTGTTGGGAACCTCTCCAGAAAGCTTCATAAAACTCAATTTTGATGGGAGCTGTCTCAGTAACCCAGGCCCCTCAAGTATATGAAGGGTTTTCAGGGATAAAGATGGAATAATTTCAGCTCTATCTCGGGTCCTAGTAGTCAAGGAGACTCCACTAGAGTTGAACTATCCGCTGATCTATGCGGGGCACAATTGATAGAAAGACTAAATCTTAGAAGATTGGTGGTTCAAGGGAACTCTCAAGTGGTGATGACTGAAGTGGTGAAGTGGTGAAGAAGATCAAGTGGCTATTAAGGGGAATGACAGTTTGTTCTCATGGGGTTCCTAGGGATGCTAATGTGGGATAGCTGATTCATTAGCTAAGCAGGGGGTTGTTAGGGAAAATTATTTTGGGCTCAATTATATTAACTGTTTTTATCTTTTAGGGGTAGTCCTTTTTTTTATAAATATTTTTACGGGTACTCATACCCCACTTGTTCATCTCTGTACATTTTTGTTCATATTAATGAAATGATATCTGTTAACTATCAAAAAAAATGCCACACACTACCTATGAGTTGATATGACTGAAACATCTCCTTCAGGAGATTGGTATTCCTATAGCTAAACCTATAAAGCTATTTTATGACAATCAAGCTACAATACACATTGTCTCCAATCCAGTTTTCCATGAGAGGATGAAACATATAGAAGGCGACAAATGGCAAAATAGTTACACCAAATGTCAAATTAGAAGACCAATTAGCATCTCTTTAGTAGGAACTTGAGCCAAACTAGAACAGTCTTTATTTATAACAAGCTGGAGTTCTATGATATATATGCTCCAGCCTCCAGCTTGAAGGTAGAGATTAAGTCTAGTCGGCAAGGGTATAACTGTTCTTTGTTAATTCCTATTAGGTTGTTTTGTTCTTTCTCTTATGTCACATAAATAAGGATAATCTTGTAATTTCAGCTTATGATTATGAAATAAAACACATGGGAGCTCAGTTCATTTTCTCCCAACTGAAAAACCTTTTTCTTTTCCCTTCTTCTCCTCTTCTCCTACTTTCTTCTTCATAACATACCTATTCTCACGCTATTTCTGCACTCTTTTATTGTTGCTTATCAAATAAAAAACAATATACAAGGAGTTCATTCTCTAAGCAGCATTGCCTAGTCTACTTATACCAAGAAAAAGATTCATCCCAAGTTTGTGCAGAAATATAAATCCAAGGCAACAATTGAATCAAATAACTTATGAATAACAAAAAACAGATAAAAATGGAACTAAAGTCTCAAGACAGTTTTCACAAGAGCAAGTGAATTGTGACTACCTCTTTTTCTGCCGTATCGTTTTCCCATTGGTTTTCACTACTTTAGGGATGCGTACTAAAGCTGCAATTGGCTGGACGAACCTTTTTCTATGTTGTGGCAAATTAACCCTTATTTGGCATCGATTCTGAGCTTCAGATTTTCAGAATGACCCCTTCTAGAATAACTTCTCCCTGTGTCACAGCAGCTGGTCCCGTTGCTACTCTTCCCCATATACATAACTAGCATCAGATAATCAGCCAAAACCAAAACAATAGCTCATGGCATATGATATAATATGGAGAATGATAGTAGGACATAGCAGCACTTGTTCAACAATAATAAGACAAAAATCTTATTATAAATCAAAATTTTATTACAAAAATGAAGTTTATTCTCACTGTTCGTCGATAGTAGCTGAATTGGTGCTAAAGTGGGATTAGAGAGGTTGTCAAGTTATCAAAGATTATAGAAAAAATAACTTGTTTTTAATCCATGGCAAACTGATATTTGCCAACAGGAAAAAGAGATAGAAGAAGAAAAGGAAGAAGAACATGTCACATTCCTACAATTTCTCGCTAGTCACAGTCGCCAAACTCGAGAGAACAACAACGAGAGAATGGCGAGGCCGTTGCAAGCCCCTAATGACAATAGCGGGGTGAGTTGTACGAACAAAACTATACACTACATAGACCCTAACACCCACTTCCAAACACAGATTATTAATCAAGCATATCCGACCATACCGTCCTGATGAGGTTGGGTTCACAGGAAGCGTTAACCTGCCAATAAAAATTGGACACATTGAAATTTTGAGTTGTTGATAACGTTAACGGGTATTCAGCAATTAAGTTGAAAAAAACCCAGTTGAATCACCCACAAAAAGACAAAAAACCCCTCCCATTTCAAGTAGGTCTGCCAATGATACCGGGAAATCTGAACCTGATCCGACATCCAATCCGATCATCTCAGATTCGGATTTGACCCCATCCGATCCTATTAAAATCTAAATCTGATTATATTATATTATTTATTAATTTTAACAAATAAGTTTTATATAATTATATTTAAAATTGCAAAAATATATTGTATATATTATATTATATGATATATATAATAAATTTAGTGTGTTATATTTATATTAATTTATTATATATAAAAGTTGAAAAATATTTTTAAAATTTTTCTGCTATTTTGTAAATTTAAAGTGAATCGGATTAAATCTGAGTACATTATAATTCAAATTCGAATCCGAATCCGAATCTTTAAATCCAATCGGATTTTGGATCAGATTCAGATGTAGGCTACCAATAATCGGATTGGATGCGGATTTTGTTGCATCCGATCTGATTACAACCCTAATTTTGAGTTCTTCTCTCTTCCGAGCCCTAAACCAAAGACTTGGAAAGTCACCTTCCCGAGAAGATTACCGGTTACGTAGAGCTTCAGGACATTGACTTCGCATACCCAGCTAGACCAGACATGATGATCTTTATAGGCTTCTCTTTGCACTTGTCCACTACATATACAATTAAACTTACCCTGATGTAAGCTTCCCACACCTCATCTTTTACCATAATAGTCCTGGTTCTGTAATCATAACCAAATCCAGTTTGGGACAGCAACACTTTGAAATCCCTGTATACTACCCTCAACTTGTTGAACTTGTTTTTGAATGGGAGGTTTGTGTAATCATTTCCGGTCCTATTCATAAACTCCTTCCTGATCTCTGCCCAACCAACCTTGCTAAATGTGGTTGTAGTTCTAGTTCCCTTCTTAGCTTGTGCTGCCATCAACTCAATAAAGACCTTTTCATCTCTAGTTGTCCATCTTGCCATCTCTATGTGCTTGGCCTCCCTACTCTCAGTTGTAGCCACTTGCTTATCCTTCTGAGAAGATGCCATCTATATCTAATGCAATATTGATCAAAAAATATTTATGGTAGATTAAATAAACATTGTTAATCTCTCTCTCTCTCTCATTAAAGAAAGGGAATAGATGGAGACACAAGAGAGAGAGAGAGAGCGAGAGCGCAAGAGCTAGACCATTATTCAATCCCCTCCCTCTCTCTCTCTCATTAAAGAAAGGGAAGAGATGTGGAGACACAAGAGAGAGAGAGAGAGCGAAAGCTAGACCAATATTCAATCCCCTCCCTATCTATCTATCTATCTATCTATCCCTATCTATCTATCTATCTATCTATCTATCTAGATAGATAGATAGATAGATAGATATCTTGATCTTCAACATATTCACTTTGATGTTAATATTAACTACATGGTATTACAAGATTAATTGGATTTTATTGAAATTGATTTTCAAAGTCACAGAGTACCAAAACATTTAATACCCCCAAACAATTAATAATTAATACCCCCCTCCTTTTCAAAGTCTCAAGATACCTCCAACCCGGGCAAGCAGCTGGAGAATGGTCACCTTGTTGGCGGCCCTGAAAAAGCTCCAATGTGGTTGGTAGAGAACTTGATAATAGTATCGAAAAGGAGGTAGAAAAATCTGAATCTGCCTCGTTCAAGATAGCAGCTAGAAAGGATGTAGAATTTGATAAAAGTTTGGGTTTGTTTTTTGGGGAGGTGAGGATTTTGCCTAAAAAGCTTTTGAAGAGTTCAAGAGCAAGAAGGAAGAGAGCTCAAGAAAAGGGTTAACTGGAAGAGGGAAATGGGATGAGGATGGTGATAACCTGGATGAACTAGATTAGATTTTCTCTTCTGCTTGTACCTTTTCTCTCGTTTTCAGTTTGTCATTATGTTCTTGGTCTAGGTTTCATTTGCCGGAGGAGTTAGCCTGTTATGTTGTCTGGTGTCCTTGTCTGTTATTAGCTGGTGTAAGGAGGGTCTAAGTCAGTTTGCTTCTCTCGGGTGATTTCTTATCACCTTCCTATGTATTTCTTTTTTATTTTAATGAATTTTCTCTTTACCTTTCAAAAAAATTGTTATAATCTCAAAAATAAATAACATAAATATATTTCAAGAGCCATGTATAAAATAGCTAGGTGTTTAATCAACGCGACCCTCCATGGGTGTCTTATTGCCAATGTGTTGCCTCAACAATTATGCACACTTGTACAGTACTCACTTGAAGGAGCTTTTGAGGCTCAAGGCTGGTGCTTTTACTTCTCTCAGTTGATGTCTCAAGGGCCATGGAACTTTGATGTTATCTCACTTCAACTAATTATCACACATTCAGACTACAATCTATAAGTTGCTCTAATACAAGGTGAGTGATCTTGATTCTTGAATCCTTGTAACAGGGAAAAGCAGTACAACTCTGAAGGAGTTCCCTTCTCCTATGGACCTTAAATAACTCACAACAATAGTTCCATGGCTATTTGTAGATAAATGTCCTAAACCAATTGATTCTGGATTGCCTAAATTAATCAGCAACAATTGAAGCTTAGTTCTTCTTAAATTGTGCCCAGGCCTGAACTATATACTTTCTTTGTGGTGTATTTTATCTTATTGTAAGTATGGCAACTCAATCCTTTTTTCAGAAAAAATGAAACAAGTATCTATTTTTCTTTTCTAATGCAGATGTGTACTTCTGAGTCAAGTAATATTAGTAACATTCTGAGACAAAGATAAGTTTTAAAGATAGTTTACTACTGAGTCAAGTAATTTTAGTAACATAGTCATGATGATCCTATTCATTGAGTGGATCTTAATGCTTTCATCCACAGGTTGTAGACCCACACACTGTAGATGTGGATGGGAAACAATACTCAGCAAGACACATACTAATGTGGCCCTTGATTTACTCTTAATGCTTTCATCCACAGGTTGTAGACCCACACACTGTAGATGTGGATGGGAAACAATACTCAGCAAGACACATACTAATGTGGCCCTTGATTTACCCCCAAAACCTGAGAAGATTGCAATAATTGGGGGTGGGTACATAGCTTTGGAGTTTGCTGGCATTTTAAATGGTTTGAAAAGTGAGGTGCATGTGTTTATCCGGAAAAAGAAAGTTTTAAGAGGCTTTGATGAAGAGGTGAGAAAACCAGAGAAAGATTAGTTTTATTTGGTTAATGCTTATGAGGGTTTCTATTTATATTTATTGGATTGATGATTATATGGTTTATGGGGAGATGGTTAATGTTGGCCCTTTGTTGGTATAATGGTATCTAAATTCATTAATAATGAATTAATAATAATATGCAATTTAAAAGCATGCTATATTTTACAATCTATGATGCACCCCGATATGCTAACTAACGGATAAAGTATTAGTGACTCTGGAATCTCTGTAGCAATTCTTTTGCACAACTCATCACGACTATTGATAACCCCAGTCGGCCATCCTTAAAACTCTCCGACCTCCACCTGCAATGGCTGAACTGCACACCAATTCCCATATAATATTAAATTTCAACAACATTTTGTTGCTAAAGTTTCCAGAAAGGAAAAATAAGTTAAGTGGCACAGGAAATGAACCGAGAATGCCTCATAAAAAGGGTCAAAAGACATGAAGCAGATTGGGAAGAATGCTCCCTAAACGGAAACAATCAACCTCCAAATTTCTGGAATTAGGATGATCAAACGAAATTTCATCATGTTTTCCAACCAACAAAATAGATTCCAGTCTTGAAATATGGTTGTAATTTAGGTAATCCTGGTGATTTTGGTGTGGGAGGGGTGGTAAGGGATGATGAAGGAAGAATAACATTGAGCTTTTCTGGGGCTTTCAGTTTCATATGGAAGTAAAATGACTAACCTATGGAAGTAGATGAAAACACTAATATTGACTCCTGAATCTCTTTTATATGGTGGTTTTGAATCTCTTTTGAGAGCTGGTTGTCATCAACTTTTAGAAGCATAAAAACAAGCTTCAATGAAACAAGAGGGTGGTTAAATGTTAAACATGAAACAGAGGCTGGTTGAACATTGAAAACAATCAACATTCTCTCTAATCCATGAATGGATCGATGGAAACCTTCTCTCTAATCATGAAACAAAGGCTGGATGAACATTGAAAACACAAAAAACACTGAAACATAGGTGGGATTAAAGGTTAAAGGTCATACCTGTAACAAGTGGGAGATCGGAGATCTTCAGAAAAAACTTGGATCGGGAGAGTCGTCTCTGTAAGGAAGAAGAAGAAGAAGAAAACCAGTGAGATAGCTGGCACGACTTCTGAAGTTGGATCGTGAGATAGCTGGCACAAAGTGAGAAAAACCGAAGATTCTCACCTGAAACTTGATTGGCGCCAGAGAACTTTTGGACTGTTGTAGGTGATAAGGAATAATCGAAGGGGAAGAAGAAAAAACCAATGTTCAGAGAACCAGACCGGGCATCAACCTGGTAAAGGCAGAGAGGTTCAAGGGTCAGAGTTCCCACAATGAAAACAAATACATCAACAATCCAATAAAGTTCAAGACTCAATCGAAGATTGAAACTTTGAAGATGGGAGAGTTTGTGGAGGTAGGCCGTTGGAGAAAAGCTTTGAAGATTGAAACTAAGGAGCTGCTATTTGAGGAGCTGAGATTAAATGGTCAGCTGAGCTTAAAAATCAGGGAAGCAAAGAGAGGGATGGTGCTGTTAGAAGGTTTGGGGGTAATTGAAGGGTTCAAGGAGTTTGTAGAAGGTGCAAGTAACAAAGGCAAACAAAATTGTTGGAAAGAG